ATGCACACCACAGATAAATGCTTGCTCCTTGCACCAAAAGAGAAATGTCCTTGGTGTCTCCTCTCTTAATGTCCTTGGTGTCTCCTCTCTCGTTCCCACACGTGCATACATAATATTCATAGTGTCAGTACCTCTACCTGTATCAGTGGTGGTCAATTTTTTAGAGACTGAGTATCCAAACTGCAACCCAAACCTTAATTTGTTACAAAGTATCAACAATGCCCCCAGGTGCACTGTTATCCAGTGTTCCGCTGCTGAGCGATGCTGGGGTGATTTGGCTCATACACAGGCAAAGAGGGCTCCTTGGCATGACTGCATGACTGCTGTGTGCCACAGGTGTGCCACCCCTTGCCTGCATCCTCTATCTGCATTGTACTACGTCAACTACACAAAAAATTTATTCCTCTCACTAGTCTACAAAACAGTTTAATAACACTAAGTATTGGGTGACCTATTGCAAATCTTGTTTAAAATTGTAGTGGTGATGGGAAAGACTCCCATTGCAGAGCACAAATCCTCTTTGTTCCTTGTGTATTTCCTAGTCCACCTTCTTGCTCTTGGACGCAGATCATATCACATTCCAATTCCTCTTTGTTACAGAATGTAACATCTCCCTCCCTCTGAGGCCCGCATGCAGGCCCTGAAGATCAGGGGGATGTTTTAATGGTTCTCTTCTAGGAGAATGATACCAGTGAAAGTCTTTCCATTTGGGGTTTTGTTATCTCCTAGCATGAGAGAGAACTTTTCTTTGGGGCTGAGCCTATTCTGATTCTCTTTCTGGCAAGGATCACAGGAACCTGACAAAGTTGGTTTGTTGGTTCATTTGGTTTTGAAGTTGTCTGTTGCACTTAGAACAAACTATTGTTTTCTTTCCATTTATTCCTTGTTGTAAGAGCTGTTAGTCTTAAATCAATAGTTCTCCATTTTTCATCTCTTATCTTTCCTGGATGGTTTAGAACCCCTAAACTTGCTCAAAGAGGCAAATGCTGCGGGGGCGGGGGGGGGGGGTCCTTTCAATCCACAGCCCTCGTAGAATCCCATGAGTCACTTCAGAGTAAGCAGGGCTCTGTATAATTTATTATTATTGTTGTTGTTTTGGTACCAGGGATCGCTTGTGCCACTGAGCTAAATCCCTGGCCCCTATTTATTATTTTTAATAGGGTAGAACTGCAGGCTCATAATAAATTTTTTGTGTGTGTCTTTTTCATTTTTATCGGTACCAGGGATCGAACTCACGACTGCCTGCTTGCAAGGCAGGCGCTTATGCCACTGAGCTAAATCCCCAGCCCCTGAATTCTTAAATAGTATTGCAATGTTTCTGATATCAAGACCTCTAAACTGTGAATATATCATATGTCCCGTTTATTTTTAGTCTTCTTTGCTTTTCTTTAACTGTTCAGTTTTACTATGAGGTGGCCAAATTATTTTTATTTATTCTCTTTGGGATTTATGTAGCTTCTTAAAAATATGAAATTCTAAATCTCAAAAATTCTGCATAATTTTCAGCCATTTTGTGTACACGCTGTGCTATCTTCTCTCCTTTCTTTCTGAAATTTCAATTGTGTGTGTACAATTATTTATACTAACACATGCATTCTTCATCTTCTCCTCTCTGCATTTTCTCCCTCTTGTCTCTCCATCGCAGCACTTGAGAGAGAACAGTCTTTTGAGTTCTCAGTTTTGCTTATTGTAATTGTCATTTGATTACTGGTGACTCTTTTCAAACCTCCTGTTTCATTGTATTGTTTCTATTTCCAGTTGTCCTTCTTAAGCACATCTAATAATTCTTTCATGATAATAAACAATAACTTTACAACTCAGTGTTTGATAATCCCAACATCCGATGTCGTCATGAGTCTGTAGTCTTTTTCCATTGTCATTTCTACCAGTTTTTGTTCATGCTGTCTTGATTTCTTCTATTCCTGGTGCAAAACTGCAAGCTGCACAATGTATTTTATAAAAATGTTCATAAAAACTGTTTGATAATTTAAAGATAACAAATTAACCATAGTTACCCTCTAATTATTGTATCTTGAAATTTTGGAGGTTTTTTTTTTTCTTTAAAAAAAAGGCTGAGGCCTAAGACAATGGTGTCTTCCTCAGGAAGATAACATTTACCTTCCTTAGGTATACAGGGTGTCACGCATTCTAAGCCATCTTACTCTGCTTTAACCTACCCTGGAAAAGTTCTCTGGACTTCCAGGCCATAGTGGTGGGAGGTTGCCAGACTCCAGGTCGAGACAAGCTTGTTGCACTGGCCTTTTGCACCCTTGGCATGCAAGAGAGCCAAAACTCAGTTCCTGGGGGGTTTGTTCTGTTCTAGTAAATGTCCTCAAACGGAGGGGTTTTGAGTGTTACCTCTGTCACTCTAGACCTCTTGGTTTTTCCTAGAATTAGGCTTCAGTAGACCTCGTTGCTTTGTTAGTTCTTCAACACTTTGGAGAAGATTATTTGTGTCCAGCAATTTTAATGGTCCTGACGTCAGGTTATTTTGAACTCCTCACCATTCTCACTAAACCTAACCTTCTTACCTCATTTGAAACAATCCAATGAAGACATCTAAGCAAAAATATTGTTAACTCATGCAGAACACTGGTGGGTACGATTTCTTGTCCTCAAATAGAAAGAGTCATCCTGTGGTATCTGTGGCAGGTTGGTTCCAAGATACCATAACAGCAGATACCAAAACTCAGGAGTGTTCAAGTCTCTTAGATAAAATGGCATAGCATTTGCATTTATCCTAGGTACAGCTTTGCATATGCTCTAAATTCACTATAAATTAAATTATATTTAATATATAATGCCTTATACAGTGCCTACACATCATTTCATTTAAGTATATTCCATCTTCCTAGTACTTAGTGTGTGGCAAATTCAAGTTTTGCTTGTTTAAATTTCCTGGAACATTTTTTCCTAAATATTTTCCATATGAAAGCATCATACCACAGTGATATATGTGCACCCATGTTTATAGCAGCACAATTTGTAATCGCCAGATCTTGGAAACAACCCAAGTGTCCATCAACTGAGGAATGGATAAAAAAGTTGTGGTATTTTTATACAATGGTGTACTACTGAGCTATAAAGAAGGATCACATTGAGATATTTGTAAATAAATGGACGCAGCTTGAGACCATACTCATAAGTGAAATAAATTAAACTCACATGTATGAATACCAAATAGTTTCCCTATTGTAAAAAGTTATTCAAATACATAAAAGTTTGTGGTAATCATGATTCTCCATTATGTGGCTTTGAAGCCTTATAAAGTTTTAACTCATTAATTGGGATGGTTTTATTCTGGGCTGTTTGATATTATTGTCTGTGATGATATGAACAAGAAAACAAGACATCATAATAGCTAGTGATGATTTAATACCATCTTGTTTTGAAGTCCCACCAAACTGTTGTTCTTCTGTCTCCATTGGTTTTATCATGTTTTATCTTACTGGATTTTATTATATGTGATAGTATAAACAAAAATTTTTATAGGCAAAGAGATAATATAGAAATCATTGTTTGTTTTCTGTTAGCTGGTTCTAAATACCCTGTAATACTTTCATCCTCTTGAATGGTTTCACACTGTCTTGATATGTTTGATGCTATAGTAATACAAAATTATACTCAAATATTTCAAGGACTATTACTAGTATTAAGTTGGGTTATCTTGTGGTGAAACACTATGTTGCTTAAATTGTTCTGCTTTGACCTGTATTGTTATGTTGTTATGTCCTCTTTTTTCTCAATCTCCCCCCTTTTTTTAAAAAAAATTTTATTGTTATTATTTTTTAATTAAGGGAAAAATCAAAAAAATTAGCAGGATATATTATAGTAACTTTTTTGATTTCCTATTAACTTGATTTGAAGCCCTGTATTGCTCCCTCCATCTTGTTTTGACTGATTTTACTCTATTCTGTTGTTTGATAGTATCAAGTTTGAGGGTATAGGCAACTACTTTGAAGGCAATAAGATTCACTATACACCCATTCTGGTTTGACTATTATCTTCTTTTGAAGTCCTGTAATATCTCCAATGTTTAGGTTTTATTGGTCTTGTTCTGTGCTGTTGTGTTCAATTTTATTATACCTGATGATATAGGCAATTCTTTTTAAGGTAGCAAGAGGCATTATGGTAACCACTGTTGATTACCTTGTATTCTGTTTTTACATCATGTACTATGTCTATCCTTTGTTTTGACTGACTGCTTTGTTTTGTCATATTTGGTTTTATTCTCTTCCAAAAAAATAATAAGAAATATGGGAGTAATAAAACCCAAAATGTATAAATGTTATTGTAAAAAAGAGAGGAAAAGAAAGTGCTCTAAAGGACACAACTGCAAGTGTGTTTAGGTGTGTAAGATAGATGACCATATTACTAAGTTTTTGTTGGATCATTGAACACAACTGTTTGCAGTCTTATTATTTGAATGTCTACTTTGTGTGCTTTAATCCTGTAACTTGAACAACTATTTCTAAGATGACAATATGTAATCTATTAACTACGTCTGATTTCTTACTGTTTTTTTTTTGAAATTCTGTATTACTTGTACCCTTATACTGTTTTGGTTTTTTCCTTTAAATAAAATTTTAAAAAAATATTTTCCATATGTAGTTGGTAAAATCCTCAAGCATAAAACCTACAGATACAGACGATCAACTGTACTAAAGTAGAAGTAAGCATAATGTCTACTCATAGAGGTTTTGAGCAACAGTTTTGTAGATGTTACAGATGATACTAAATCATCAAGTTGGTTAATGCCATATCCTATTCAATATGAATTAGTTTATGGTTTTACATCAGATTTATTGCATTTCTATACTTTCATCCCAAGATGTACAGTTGCTTATCTGTGAAAGAATTAAACCATACAACAGTTGCGACATATTCATTTTGTGTTAAGCAATATTTTTGAAGTTCTAGAGAAATATCCTTTGGTGTTGACACCTTCCAAGGAATCATGAAGCAAGTCCT